ATATATGGATCTATATGGATATACCCACGTGCATTTTATACAGGTATGTATACACATGCACAAATATATGCATACCTATCTGCACACATATATGCATGCATAAATAAAATACATATTTACCATGTCCGCAGTAAAAGGATGCATTTGCTGGCACTATTCTCAGGTTGGTGGGCTGGGTTTTTTAAATTGTGTTCTTTTTCAAGATAGGATGGTAAATCACTTTGATTTGTGCAGATATCTGGGGAGGGTGTTGGGGAAAGAGGGTGTTCCCCCCTTTCCAAGTTCGTGGGACCCTGCCTTGAGAAACAAGCATACAGGATCTTGATGGGAGATGAAAAGAGGGGGGTGGGGCCGTCTGGTAGGGAGGCAACAGGTTGCAGGTTGAGGGAAAAAACTTGGGGGGAGCCATCTGAAGAATCTAAATTGAAGGAATAGCGATAATGATATTAATGAACAAAGTAAATCAAATACCCTATTAGTGGTTAGCCTGCCAGATCCGTGCCTTTGAGAGGGGCAGCTGTGTAAATAAATAAATTGCATTCTACCAAGAACAGGGGAAACTTTTTATGTGATGGTCCATCTGAATTGCTTTCAGTTAGCTGAAACTATGTAAGTTTTCAAAAAGGATCACTGAAGACAGGAATGCAGTATTTTGTTATCTGAGGTTCAAATTAGAAACTTACCTTTAGTTATGTGCCCTCAAGTCTGGGTTGACTCTTAGCAACCACATGGCTTATATTAGGCCTAGCTTATTTTCTGCTGAGGCAGCTAAGCCTCGTCAAGTTTCTAAAAATGCTCTGACGTTGGATTCTAATATGCATACTTTTGTGGTGATTTTTCACAAATTTTGATCATTTTTTTCACATATTCTCCCATACCTTAAGATATTTAAAGTTGTAAAGGTCAAAGTATCTTTTGTTGTTCATTAAGCAGGCTTATATAACATAAGACATAGGGTTAAGATATAATAAAAAAGGAAATAAATTTGACCAGTCCAAGTATAATTTGCAGTCTAAATCAGTAATGGAAACTATTATAAGCATGTTTTATCAGTTCATCTAATAAGCAAATAATTATGTTAATGCAAGAACAAAGGGAATAAAGCATCATTTGTTGAAATTCAAATTCATGTATAGAAGTTAAAAGATCAAGAATTTTGATCTTTCGGAGATATGATGGATTTTAATTTTTAACCTATTAGATTTGTACATACTTCAGAACATCAAGTTGCAGTGTTGAAAATAATTTTCCACCCTTAGTATAACAAGATAAAGAACAATTTCTGTAGTGTGTTACTTTATTGCATGGTATTTCTATCCTTATAGTATCTTGGTAATCTTGTTTTCAGACTTCACTCTAAATTTGCAACACCAACTTTTTAAAATGGTTTATTTTATTTTTAGGTTTCAGAGTTTAATATCTGACCTAACAAGCAGTTCAGATTAAAATTGCATAACCTACTGAATTTCCCATTAAAACTGGGATTCTCAAACTTTGTGATACCACAACAGCCACCAGAGGATTATGCAGGCAAAGCAAGAAAGTCCTAAACAAGTTTTGACAGCATTCCCAACTGTCCTTGCAAGGTTTATAAGTATGATCTGCCAACACTGAGCTGCTTGAAATCTCTCTGGGGGTCCTAATCCACAGTTTGAGAATCCCTGAATAAAAGAATGAAATAAAGAGAAATCAGTTCTGTTGATGTTTGCATGTAACACTGTTCACATGTATCAAGACAGTTGTGTTTTGTTAGTAAGAGAGTGAATCCTATCAGACTAAACAGCTGATGACTTGCTTTGTTTCAACTGCTTAGGTTACCACAACTAAATTTTGTGCTGTAGTAGCTAGTTTGATTACATTTTTTATTTTGGTCTGATTATAAGCAATACTCTATCCCATGTACATCAGTAGAGTAACATCACTGAATCTCAGGAATTGGAAAAAAAATGCCAGCATAGCCAAGTATATTATCCTTACCTCAAAAAGATATGTGTGTACTACGTTCAGCATTATAATTTGTAGTAACTACCATTAAACTTAATGTGACTTTGTACCTTGAAGTACATTGAAAGCTTTTGTCCCATATTATAGGTCCCTGGGTGAATTTTGTGTTGTTTTTTACCAAGCCAGCGTGAAATCATCAGAATATGATAGTTGATTCATTGCAAAATCTACACTTCCACTATGGCAGTCTAGTACTTTTGAAGAAAAATATATTAGGGCTATTTCCTCAAAATCTTTTGCCTTGTGATTTAAACTTGGCTCAAAAGGTAATGTATTTGAGTGTATGTTTTCTCTAGCCCTTTCCAGTTTCAATCTTGCTTATGATGAGCATAGTTCTGTGACCGACAGCAGGCCTAGATTTTCAGCCAGCAACTAGTGTCCTAGAGTAAAAGCTGGAACATCCATGACATGTATTTTTGACACCTTCAACCTGTCCCATGTGGCCAGTTGGTTTATATGGATGGATCACTCCTCTCCCCATCATGCTTTGCCAATATACTATATTTAGAATGAATATTCAAAATGGCCCTGATGTGATAAGAGAAATATCAATAATTAATATATAATTTGCTATTAAACCTTACTTCTTTGTTTCAGGCATTTGTGAAAGATGTCCATGAAGATTCAATAACTGTTGCATTTGAGAATAAGTAAGTATTATCCTGGAATTGACCTTACAAAGATTTAGCCATCTAAAAGTGTGATGCTGAACAAATTTAGATTTTAAATATAATGCCAATCTTGCATATTCCCCCCCCCCCCCCCCAAAAAAAAAAAAAACAACAACAACAACGGTTGCTTGATAAATAAATCCTTTCTTTGATTCTTGGAAGCAATCTGCTGGTCAGGGCAATGTTAAGAATAAATGCATAATTATTTCTACCCTCTCCATCCTTGTGGAGTCATCTTGATGAGCTGCATACATAGAAAATATCCTCTCTTTGTAGCTGTCGTCCATTAATGTTGTGCCTACCAAAACTTGTCTAAGCTTTTGTATCTTAGCTATTCGTGGGATGAGCAACCTACCTTCATGTTATATTTATATCCCAAAGAATAACCAGAAAGTTTCACATGGGGTGAAACTGCAATGAACAGCAGTTCTTTTTTCAAGAGAGCTGACTTCAGTACTTAACGCTGTAAACCCTTACATTGTTAAAACACTGTCCAAATCTTAATAATAAACTCAGGTTGCAATGTATTTCTTCTTTGTTTATTTTTATTTTTGTAACAATTCATTGCATCATTTCTCTACTGGGCACTGAGGAAAATATAATCTTCCCCTTTGCAACTCCCATTTTTATGTGTGCTGAGCACAAAGGACGGATGGAGTTCTCCATTCTTTCTCTACCTTCTGACTCACTTAACTATATGGAGTTCCACACACTTGCTTATAGGCCATTGTTTATCAGCTGTGATTACCAAGGAAGTGCTTTAAATCCACGGCTGATTTAGCTGCGTGTTTATTCAGTTTCAGCCAGTTATCTACGCTTAGTTCCTGGGAAATAATTTTAGATTGCCATCTTTCCTGAATTGCTTTTTTTTTTTGTCTTACACCTGTTTAATAGCTTAAGTTTTTTTATTGTGTATTTTAGCTGGCAGCCAGAGAGACAGATTCCATTCCACGATGTCAGGTTCCCTCCACCTACAGGGTACAATAAAGATATAAATGAAAGTGATGAGGTTGAGGTAAGACCCATTTTAATCTTAACATTTTGGACGAGGGTGAAACAACAAAAAGATTTGCCTTTCAGTAGAAAATATTTGCACTAGTCTTCAGGTGCTTCTTTCTGTTTCTTTTTCCTCAAACATTTTCTTGGATACTCTTGTTCAATCACAGGGGACAAATATGCTGGATTTTGCTTTGGGCTCAGACACATCATTACAACTTACAGAATGAATATGTGTAGCAGAGTATGTCACTGGCTACACAAAAAGGTGCACCTGAATCATGCAACCTAAATAGGTGTGGTGCCAGTATTAAGGTCCCTTAATTTAATTATACTTTAATTTCCTCTAATGGCAATGGATGTGATGGGCTAGCATTTTAATAAGTAAGCTTGAAATTCTTAAGCAAGAATGTAATTCTGTAGAGTAAATGTAAAGGTACTCCAAAGGATTCATTTTTTTTAATCACTTGGGGTTGGCTTTGCTGAGTACCTCTTGGACAGAAATTTCAGTTGAAGTTCTTTATTGTAACAGTCTATATATTTTTAAACAGACATGATTGCATGAAAATCAAAGTGGGTTGGAGATTCTTCCCCTTCTCCCCTCAATTTCTCTTGAGGTCCACCCAGGTTCTCTTTTTCAGCATGCATGGACTTAATACTTGTACTAACTATTGCCATTGGCAATTACTATACTACCCACATTCTGAGTTGGCCAGGCACTTCTTAGTGAGTGAAGTTCTCCTTGATCTTATGAGGAGCCTCACAAAATTGCTTCTTAAATAATCTTTCTTGCACTGGTTTTAATCAGAGAGCATTATGCTGAGCATGGAGAAGATGGGAAGGATGGATATTGAACTGGAATTTCTTTGTTGCCACATTTTGTACCCAGTTTAGCAAACCCATTTAATTTGTGTACATTAAACAAAACTGAAACTTGTAAATCCTTCAAGCTTCTAGTGGACAAAATCATTTGAACTTGTAACATTAAATTGCAATACAAGTATTCGGTGTATATTACCATCCTTTTTTTTAACTGAATATTTGGAGTTTGGAATGGGCCTATCTTAATTTCGCTTTCACTATGTGCTTTCATTGAGCATAAGTACAAGCAGTTGAATATACCTACTGACATGGTTTTGAAATGGCCCAGTGTTACAAATCAGTTTAAACATACAAACATACGAAAGGCTTTATAAGGCTGGGATAGTAATAGGAAAGTGTCAATTTCCATTTCTGCAATGTACCTTTGGCCAATAGAAAAATGACTTGCCAGATAGTTCTAGGTTAGCTGAAGTGTATTTCTTGTTGAAGTGAACTGCAAGCGGTGTGGATTCAAGTAGCAATTTAAAGAAGGTTAAAACCAATTCCCGTTCTAGGCACCCCTTTTATGTTTATTAATTTTTCATTTATTTCCTGCTTTCTGAAGTGTTTGAGGTGATATATTTTGGCCTAAGGAAAATTGAATAGCCCAAAACTAAGTGAACTCCACAGTCATGTGATCTGACCCAACACTTGACCGCACTAGCAGTATATTGAGATCTGAGCCTGTGAAATGTAACAAAACAAGATCATTGCTGAATGTTTCATTTTAAAACCAACTTTTTAATGCAATGATGGCATCTAGGATTGCACTGTGTTATTTCTCCACCAGGTGACAACATTTTATTGCACAACAATGCAATGTTCTATACTGTGATTTCATTTAGGTTTATTCCAGGGCTAACGAAAAGGAACCATGTTGCTGGTGGCTGGCTAAAGTGAGAATGATAAAGGGTGAGGTAGGAATATATATATACATATATATTTAATACTTCGCTCTTCTTCATAGCATCTCTGTTTTAAATTGCTATGGGTCTTTCTCTTAGTTTTACTGGATTCTAAATGTATAGTTAAACCTTCAGTTTAAGAAAGCTTTAATTTAGTAGATTGTGGATGCAATTGGGGAAATCTTTCCATATGCTCTGCATATGCATCTATAAATTATGTTTCAATTTTTTATATATGTAAAACGCAGGAAATATATGTCCCTATATTCCCATTTCATATATGGGTAAAATCCAGTTTGGATTTAATGGAGTAACAACTTTCATAAACCCCTCTTTCTTTTATTAGTCAATTAAATCAAGGTTTTACTGTAACAAATATTGAAACGAAAAGTAAACAGTGGGGCCTTCAAATATGAAATGTTATCTTTAAAACATCACTACCTACTTATACAGTGTCTTGGACAATTTGTTCTTTTCCATTAGTTTTATGTAATAGAATATGCTGCTTGTGATGCTACCTACAATGAAATTGTCACAATTGAGCGTTTGAGATCTGTCAATCCTAACAAACCTGCAACCAAGGATACTTTTCATAAGATTAAGCTTGATGTACCTGAAGATTTAAGGCAGATGTAAGTGCAATGTTATTCTGTGTATAAAGTTGTAATCAGTATTCTTAAGATGAATATTGAATTTCTCCCCTCAGTAAGATACTTACAGACTATTTAGTTCTTTTCAATGCATTACAACTGTCCATACTAAGCATTTAATTAAAAGATTTTAAAGATGGTGTTTTTCAGTGTGAACAGTTTAGTAGAATTAAGCCTGCAGTTTGATTGCTATGTAGTTACCTGGATGAAACCAAATGAAAGTATATACATATAAATTCCCAGAAGCAGTTTATGAATCAGTTCAGTGTGTTTCAGTTTGAAATGTGTCACGGTAGTGAAGGGCCAGCATGACCCTCTAAACTACAAGGGATTGTATTTGTTGAGGTTCTGTGGACAAAGTAACAGCACATTTTCTAATCATGGATCTAAATTGTTGTTTTAGGTGTGCTAAAGAATCTGCCCACAAAGATTTCAAAAAGGCAGTTGGGGCATTTTCTGTAACCTACGATCCTGAGGCTCATCAACTTATCATTTTGGTAAGTTCCTTTTGGTTAGATGAGGTTGAATTCAAATGTTCTGCTTTACAATAATATTAAACAAGATTTTTTTTTCTAATTTAGTCTATTAATGAAGTAACAACAAAACGTGCAAATATGTTAATTGATATGCACTTTCGAAGTCTTCGGACCAAGTTATCCTTGATAATGAGAAATGAAGAAGCAAGCAAACAACTAGAGGTAAAAGTTGTAACCATTTTTTATAGATTTAGCCACTTCGCTAAACTGAAGTTTGACAGTAATATAAGAAGCATCTGTAAATCATGCTGTGAGGAACCTTCCCAGAGATGTTCTGGACCATCCCACAGTTGTGGATGACGGGGTGTGCTTTCCGAGTTAGAGTTTTTCATGCCAATATACTTGTTTTAACCTGCAGTATGATATTTTGTTTATCAGGAAGACTACGATTGTTTTAGAAAACTAGCTGTACCTTGGATAACATTGATCTAATTCCATGATCATCTTCAGTGTTACCCAAACTTTTCAGATGAATTTATAAGTTTTCTTAACCTGGGTGTTTTCTAAGGAATCTGCATTCCTAGATTTCTGAACAATAATCACGTTGGCTAGGCAATTTTGGGGGTTAAATTCACATATCTGGTGGGCACTATGTTAGGGAAGGTGTAGCCTTCCAAGAATCCATGTAATTTCATCCCCAGGGTGAATATTTGAAATAAATTCAGTGTGCTAGTGAAAGTAACTAATCTGTGTCATTTGATGTAATTGTTTGGTGGTTGCTAAGAAATTCCCAAATAATCCCGCAAGAGAGAACACCCTATGACCTGTCTTCTCTTTAAAAAAGGGACTCCTTGTGCCTTCATGCTGAAGTTTTATGTGTAACCTTTCCCTTCCAGAGCTCAAGGCAGCTTGCTTCAAGATTTCATGAGCAGTTTGTTGTACGTGAAGATCTGATGGGTCTCGCTATTGGCACTCACGGAGCTAACATCCAGCAAGCCCGGAAGGTACCAGGAGTGACAGCAATTGATCTTGATGAGGACACTTGTACATTCCATATTTATGGGGAGGTGAGTTGCATTTCCGAAGCTACTTTCGTTGAAATATCCCCAACTCTGAGTCACTGCAGTGTTTCAAAACACATGTACCCTTTCGCTAGGATCAAGATGCAGTGAAGAAGGCCAGAAGTTACCTTGAATTTGCTGAGGATGTCATCCAGGTCCCAAGAAACTTAGTAGGTAAGTCAGTCGGAAGGTGTGTTTGAAACTTGGTTGTTTTAGAAATAAAGACAGGAGGAGAGTTTCACAGTATGGTTAATCTATCTATTTAAAACATAAATAGCAATTCTGTTCATTTCGGCTGACGTAAAATGAAGCTGTAGCTTAATAGGACTGTTTTAATACTGATTTACAATAATGCATGAAACTGGCTATAAGGGACTGTTGGCCCAGGATCATTGCTACTTCGTTTCATGTCTTGTAAATCTGAATTTAATAATCATTTTTTCTAATGAATCACTGTACTTCACAAACTAAGTTTATTTTCAATCCTGAAAACAAAGATCTGATTTGAATGTCATCCTTGTTTCCTAACATCAATTGAGTAAAATCTTTTGACAAGTGAAGTGACTGCGGTAATTGGACACAGATTTCTCCTTGCAATATTGATACTGGAGGTTATTGTCAGACTTAATTAAATCTCATCTTAATGGGCATATCTAGTAATTGGTTTCAATCCATTTTAATAAATATTTCCTGCAATTACCGATGTTATCTCTTCATGTAGGAAAATAAATCTTCAAACTTGAGTCCTTTTAAAAATAAGTACTCAAGTGTTTTTATAGATGACTATCAAAGGGACATAAGCATCTGATGTCCTTGGACAACAAACTCTATTGATACAGAAATGAAATATTTGAGCATCTGTGGAAGCATTTTTGGCAGAATTAACTTGTCATCCATTTTTTCCTAATGTTTCTGATTTGCATAAATGTTTCCTTGTCTTCTTTTTTATAGGAAAGGTTATAGGGAAAAATGGAAAACTCATTCAAGAGATAGTGGATAAATCTGGAGTTGTGAGAGTGCGAATTGAGGCTGAAAATGATAAAAATATTCCACAGGAAGAGGTACGTGGCATTTGTAATGTTTTACATTAATGCAGAAAAACACATTTTCCACAACCATCTACATTTTTATTGCAAACCGGTTCAGGGAGCTGCTTAATTGTTTTGCCTTTTGTAATATTAGCTAAGTAGCTAGACCACTTGGATTTTTGTAAAGGAGCTAAACTGATCCTGTTCCTCAAAATGTTAAGGCATGTTCTCTAATATTCACATGTGCCACTTCAGAAAAGTTCTTCCCTTTGTCTCAACATGCACGATATGCATAGAAAAATGTGATTTCAGGTTTCATTGCAGTTTATCATAGATCAGTGCAGGGTTGCAGTATAAATTAAAACATAGGCCGGATTGCTTAGGAAAGAATTTCTCCCTTGTCCACCACATGTAACAAAGATCCCGAGGACCATACGTTACCCAGTTTTGAGGTCTGGTGAAGGGAAGGAAGGCGGCATTTGTTTGCTTACTTAAAACATTGTTATTAAATGTTTAATGAGATTACAGATAGTCCTCAACCTGTGACCACAATTGAGCCCAAAATTTTATGTTGCTAAGTGAGAAACGTGTGATGAGTTTTGTCCCATTTTACGACTTTTCTTGCCACATTTGTTAAGTGAATCCCTGCAGTGGTTAAAATGAGTAACGCGGTTGTTAACTGAATCTAGCTTCCCTGTTGACTTGAAGGTCGTATCCTGTGACCATCATAAATACCAATCTGTTGTCAAGCACCTGAATGTGAATCACATGACCATGGGGATGCTGCAGCGGTCACAAGAGTGAAAAATGGTCCTAAGTCACTTTTTTCCAGTGCTAAATTGTAACTTCAAACAGTCACTGAACAAGCTGTTGCCTGTCAAAGAGGCTACCTGTACATTGAATGTTGATTAATAAGAGTGGCGTGGATGATGTCCTGGAATTCACCTGATTCTAGATTTGCTTTCTAGGGAATGGTCCCATTTGTCTTTGTGGGAACCAAGGACAGCATCACAAACGCCACCGTTCTCTTGGATTACCACCTCAATTATTTAAAGGTGAGCATTCCGCTGTCTTTCCTGGCTTCCAGGTGTTACGCAAAAGTATATAACCCTTTCGTTATTGCTATTAATTAGAGTGGTGCGGTGGCCTAGAGGTAGAGCTCTCGCCTCACAATCAGGAGGCTGTGAGTTCGATCCTAGGTAGAGGCAGATATTTCTCTCTCTCTGCACACTCAGAAAATATCTGGTGAACAAAACTCCGCACTGGCGACAGGAAGGGCATCTGGCCAGTAAATGCTCTGCTAACTCCATTCAGTTGCCCAGACTACACCTCGATGCAAGGGATTATGGGGTCTTTAAACGATGATTCTTTCTGTTAATTCTCCCAGTTGGTATTCATTCCTAAATGAATTCCCGTGCTTTAAAATGAACCAAGACACACAAAAGTTACCTTTAGAGTAACCGTAGCTTTTGGTCAATTGCCTCTTTTCCTCCCCAGGAAGTGGATCAGCTCTGTTTGGAGAGGTTGCAGATTGACGAGCAGCTTCGACAGATTGGGGCCACCTCAAGGCCACCCCCGAATCGCCCCGATAAAGAAAAGGTGTATATGTCTGACGACGGTCCCAGTCTCGGAAGAGGTGGCCGACCTTACAGGAACCGAGGCCACAGCAGGCGTGGTCCAGGCTACGCTTCAGGTGGGTAGCTTGGAAAACTTTGTTCTGGAGGCTTGTGAAGTTCTGGATTCCTTAAAAAATGGGGAGGCTGAGCCGGTCTGAAGACGCAAATGAGCTATAAAAATGATGAAAAGTGCTTTCTGCACAGGAACGTGGCCCCTTCTATGCTTGCTATCTGGCTCATTTAATTTTGGTTTATCCCATGAATCTTTGCTGCCTGTGATGGCTTTCAACCGAGGCAGTAAACATATCCAGGAAGTGCTCAAACTTTCAGGCGCAATACTTCAAAACCATAACAATGCCCTCCTTTTTTCCCCCACTGTAAAATATAAACGACAGGAAACCGGTTTCAGCTGGTGGTAATTTTGGGGTTGGTTTTTCCAAAACCTCATAAAAATGGCCTGCGGTATGTCTTGGTTTTTTCAAACTCTTCGATAGGAACTAACTCTGAAGCATCCAATGCTTCTGAAACAGAGTCTGATCACCGAGATGAGCTGAGCGACTGGTCCTTAGCCCCAGCGGAGGAAGAGCGAGACAGCTACCTGCGCAGAGGGGATGGGCGAAGGCGTGGAGGAGGCGCCCGCGGCCAAGGCGGAAGAGGCCGGGGAGGGTTCAAAGGTAAGCTCTCCCCAGGTGGCTTTTGTATGGGCCTTCGGGAGCTCTCTGAAATAAGACACCTGTTCATTCCAAGGTTGCCAGCCGTGCTTTAAGTTTTAAAAAGCAGCACTTTCAACCAGGATGACGTAGGAGAGCGTAGAAGTCTCAAATCACCTGACACAGTGACAAGAAGACTTGCTTATCTGTAAAGCAGCTATCGAAACAAGAACCTCCAATGCCATTTGGTGCTGGTTAGAATTAAAATTAGAATAGAGCAGAACAGAGCAAAGCTGGAAGGGACCTTGGAGGTCTTCTAGTCCAGTCTCTTCTTAAAAACCCCCAGTGATGAAGCACCCATGATTTCTGGTGGCAAGCTGTTCCACTGGTTAATTGTCTTCTGTGTTAGGAAGTTTCTCCTTAATTCCAGGCTGCTTCTCTCCTTGATCAGTTTCCATCCATTGTTTCTTGTCCTGCCCTCTGGTGCTTTGGAGAATAATTTGACCCCTTCCTCTTCTTTGGGTCAGCCCCTAAAATACTGGAATACTGCTGTCATGTCACCCCCTAATTTTTATTTTCTTTAGACTAGCCAGACCCAAAATCTGCAGCCGTTCTTACGGTTTAGTCTCCAGGCTTTTGATCATCTTAGTTGCTCTTCTCTGGTTAAGATTGGAAGATCGAATTGCTGTTGATCCTACGTTTTACTTGGGTACTGTAAAATGTCCAGAAATATCATTGGGGCTACCTGTAGAGCGCCCAGTTTCTCAGTGGAAATGGATCGTTCTCGAATTGTGAATGAATGGCAGCGTTTCCAAGCTTTAGAATTATGTTTTAGTAACACTTAACAGGCTGACACATAATTAGGTTTTTTTTTCCCCCCCCAGGCAGCTTCAAATGTAACATACCGGTGAAAAGGGAGGGAAAAAAACCATAGCTAATAGTAATATTTATACTGACTTATATACTACAATAGCACCCAAAGAATGTTGGTCAAATGGCCAACAAAAAGAAAAACGTAGACAAACATGGAGAGAGAGACTAAATCTGTTGCAAAGTCCCTAAAATCCAGATTTGATATGCAGGAAACGAGGACCAGTCCAGGACAGACAACCGTCAACGCAAATCAAGAGATGCTAAAGGGAGAACAGATGGCTCACTTCAGGTAAGTCTGGTCACTTGACTGATGCATCAGTGAAACATGCTTACCTGCATGGCAGATGTATGTTCTGTGGGTTTGTTTTTTTTCCTTCCCTGCAGTCTGTTGTCCCTACGTCAGGCTTTAGTTGTCTTTACTACGATTCCATTCACTTACCAGAAGGAATATTTTAGAATACAGGTAGTCCTCAACTTATGACCCCAATTGAGCCCAAAATTTATGTCAGTAAGTGTGACATTTGTTAAGGTGAGCTTTGCCTCCTTTTAGAACTTTTCTTGCCGCCGTTATTAAGTGAGTCCCTGCAGCGGTTCCCTTAGTCACACAGTTGTGAAGTGAATCAGGTTCCCCCATTGACTTTGCTCGTCAGAAAGTCGCAAAAGGGGACCCCGGAACACGGCAACCGTCATAAATAGGAGTCAGTGACCAAACGTCCAAATTTTGATCATGTGGCCACGGGAATGCTGCATTGGACGTAAGTGTGAAAAACAATAATAAGTCACTTTTTTCCAGTGCCCTTGTAACTTTGAACGGTCATTAAATGAAATGATGTTAGTCAAGTACTACCTGTAGTTTGGGCAAAGGGGGTAGGTTTATGTCCTACAGATTCAGATAAAGTCAGCACATAATTTATTTTAAAGGTAGTTTTTCATGTTCACATTGAGCAAAATAATAACTTCCATAATGTGTATCGTATATACATTATATTGTGTATAATGCACAATATATTAAATCCAGGAACTTGAACTATAAAACACTACCTGACAATATTCAAATGGCCCACCTCTTGACTAATATATTTTTCCCAGAATCTACTTCACTTGGACGAGGAGAAAGCTGTTGTTGTTATTAATTAATTTATTTATTTATTTATTATTTTTAAATCCTCTCCGGCAGCTCTCGTTGGGCTCTCCCTAGTGGTTCCAAGGGGTATGCTTTTATGTAACTATAACTTATTTCAGATCAGAATTGACTTCAATAATGAAAGGAGTGTCCACACTAAAACCTTACAGAATACCTCCAGCGAAGCTAGCCGGCTGCGGACGGGTAAGGATCGTAACCAGAAGAAAGAAAAATCGGACAGCGGAGAAAGTCAGCAACCGTTGGTGAATGGCGTGCCCTAAACTGCATAGCTCGAGAAGTCGTATTTCCTAAACTGTTCCAGTAAATCTTATTCCACATTAGAGAAACTTGTTAGGCCAAAGACAAATAGTAGGCAAGAGGGCGGCAGGGCATGAAATATTAAAACTTTAAAAACAAAAACAAAAAAAAAGTTCTGTTAGCCTTTTTTTAACATCAGCAGTATGCAGTTTTCTTTTTTCAAAATAAGACATTATACTTGCATTAAAATACCTTGAACTTCTGAAAAAAAAACAATGCTTTCAAGTACATATTGCACTTCAAACAATGAAAGAATTCCTTTTGTTTGTTTTTAAAAAAAAATACTGAACTGTGCATTGGTATTTCTGTTCAGTTGTACCATTTTAACGCATCTGGTCAAAATCACTGCTAAATTTCAATTTTCAGAATAAATAAGTGTTTGCGGTAATCAAATTGGGCTTCTGTTTTTAATCTATTAAAACCTCCTCACTTAAAATAAATAAGTAAAATTGACGCTATGCTTTTACGTCCTGTGTCATTTCACACACACTCTTCGGTTCACCTTTATTTCGGTGTACCCGGATTATCTGTGTAATGTAACTAAATTGTCATTTTCATTAGCAAAAAAAAAAAAAAAGTTGTATGGTATGTGCCTTTTTTATATCTTGGCAGGTAGGAATATTCTTTTTGGAAGCAGAAATCAGGGAAGATTTGTTGGAAATGCTGAACTCTTGTTAACGTACAGGTGTTAGACCTGCTCAGGGCGCAGGAATCCTTCTCAAGAGCTTGGGTCCAGGTCTTCACAGGTACCTGCTCCACCTTCTCAGTGCCCAGTTTCTCTGGGTTGAGTAGGGAGACCTGAACTGGGTCACCTCACCTGGAAGAGCCTATGGGTTCCCACCTGCACCCTTTCCAGGCAGAAACACCTGAATAGGAACTTTAAATGTACAATATATATGTAGCAAAACCTCTCCAACAGTTAGTATTTTTATTAGAAGAATGCATGCTTTCCATAATTTTTTTTCCTCGCATCAACATCGTTAGGCTGTTTATAAGATAGAAACCTATTTTGCACTGAAGATAATGGCAGATCATGTTACTGAAGTGGTGGCTTTTTTCTTTGTTTTTATGTTTCTCCCTTTGTAGTCAGGATGGATTTGGGATTTTGTTTGTTTTTTTTAAATGTATACTCCCAATTGTGACAATACAGTTAATGGTTACCAAGGGAACAAACCAGAATTTGTTCATAATGTGTGCCACCTCTGTGGCAGAGGACCAATTTAAAAGAATATGGGTTTTTGTTGTTGTTGTTGTCGTTGATCACTTCCCCTACAGTTTTGATACTTATATTCAGATGGGATAGGAAGATGATGGTGTTTTATGCGGCTCTTTGTAAAATTCAGGGATATACTGTACTTTGACAGCATTGGATATAGATCAATTTTTAAGGTCTCATTCACAAGTAGTTTAAAAACCTGTAATCGAAGTTGGTGTAAGGTTGTTGTCCATAATTGGGGATGAGGCGTGCTTTCTATTTCCAATCATGAATGAAATTTACATGGAAAAATAAAACACAGTAGGACATTTCATTTTAAGCTATTCTGTTTTTTTTATTAAAATTACTCCAGTGGGAGTGTTGCTGATTGTGTACAAAATTGTACAAACTGCAGCCACACAGTCTGTGTTGGGTTTTTGTTTGTTTCTGTGTTTTTTTCATTTTACCTTTTTTTTTTTTTTTTTACTTTGCGTACAAGCAAGCATATAAAAATGGCAACAAACTGCACACAACTTAACGAAAAAGTCTTAAATATTGCCAAACATTAAATGTTGATTTCTAATTATTTATTTTGGGGGAATGTATAGTATTTGAAAACTGAAATTGGTACCTTGCACACATCATCTGTAAGCTGTTTGGTTTAAAATACTGTAGATAATTAACCAAGGTAGAATGACCTTGTAATGTAACTGCTCTTGGGCAATATTCTCTGTACATATTAGCTACAACAGATTGGATTTTATGTTGACATTTGTTTGGTTATAGTGCAATATATTTTGTATGCAAGCAGTTTCAATAAAGTTGGATCTTCCTCTGCTAATGGATGTTGATGCAATCTTTATAAATGATTGCTTTAAACAAATCAACTTGAAGCATTAACCTGTTTTTTTCTTTTCTTTTTCTTGTGTTGAAATTGGAAACATTGTTTATTCCAGAAGTGTGAAAACTGAAATATTTTCAATTTCAAGAATGGGGCTACTGGTCAAAACGTACATGTTTGCTATTATATGCACTAATTTTACACTCGAGACTGACTTCAGTAAGGTGCTAACTAGATTTGACTTAACTAAAACTGTTAACAGATTAATCACCATTTTCAAATGACATTTTTGCAGTATTTTTGTGCTTTAAATGTGTATCCCTTTCAATTAAAAAAAATTGCTGTTTTTAAGTATTGGTACATTTTAAAAAACAAATTGTAAATCCAAATGTAAGACTCGTTTTGAGAATCATGCGTGTTACAAAGGTTTGAAAGTGCAGCAAATGTCTGATGTTTGGGCTCACTTCCTTAATGGTAACCTCACATATGGTCTAATAAATTACAATTATTTTGAAAACAAAACAAAAACAAAAAATAAAAGTTTTTTTTTAAAGATTGAAAGATATCTTTGAATGGCCACAAGATTCAAGCAAAGTACAATTGGACATCTCACTTTTCCAGGCACACAACTGAATTGGCTGGTTTGTTTCCTTCTTTTCACTAGCATTAGAGAAACGATAATTGTGAGGAGAGGAAGAAAGGGGTGACCATATTGTGATTCTGCTAATGTGTTCAAGGTTGGAACATGACATCAGTAAGCATATTCTACACCAAAATAAGACAGTCATGCATTGTGTTGGTGACTGCTAAATTCTAGTAGGCTCTACGACTAAAAGAATGGCTATAAATAGTATCTATAGCCATTTCCTACTCTGCCGAGTATCACCCAACAGATATAAAGCCTGCCTTTAATAATTTTTTGGCAGTCTTGAAAGAGGCCGCGGAGAAGAAATCCATGCAAATTCAGGGCATTAAGAATCTCCTGTTAGGAATTTTGACCGACCTTCTGAATCGCTGGTTATATTTGACATTTTCAAGGAAGTTCATAGAATTGCCATTCTGTTGTACATCTATGGAGATTCTCAATCATCCAGGCCATGGTTGTCCCAAAGGTGCTTTTCTAAAAAGCAACTCATTCTTTCTTGGGGTTTTCTCGAAACAACCAAGAAAATCCAATTTCCTTTTGGGAAAAAAAAAAACCCCACTTTTGGGACAACCACTCTGTAGTAGTACCTCTAGAGTACTCCAGTTGTTCCTTTTACTTAGTTTGTACTTCTTTTCCTTCATATTTATGTTGTCTTCTGCAGACTGAACGCCTAATTGGTGTTTTCTTCCAGAATGAAGGGTGCTAACTCTATGGGACCAAACAAATTCCCTTGTCGCTCTCCCTAACCAGTTGTCTTCCAGGTATGCAGCTAGAATTTCTGATCAGTCAGAAATTGGGCTCCGACCCATTCAGAACTGTGCTTCGGTTTGTTCCAAGTACTCCTAGGACAACTCAACACTTTCAGCCCCTCCTTTCCCAAGGAGTAAGTCACAATAGGGATTCCCATAGTGATGGATCCTCCATAGCTCCCCTATGCCTCTTTATTGGCCACGTGATTAAAAAGACTGCAGAAAAATAACAGGTGGGCTGAATTGAATCTGAAGGTACAAAGCAGGGATAGAGCAGGTTACCCCACGGTAAACTATAGTATCTTCATTTAGATTAGTGGCGTTGGGTTTGTTTTAAATGATCTTCGAAATCTTGAGTTAAGGTAGGCCTTTGTTCATTTCATTGTTAACTCTGTTGGAGAATACAGGACAGTCATAACTGACGAGTGTCAAAAGTCCTCACCACAAGTTTAATATGACCTGGCATTACAACCATGTCTGTAGGAATTGTAGAACCTTTAAGATACCTAGAAGCTACTCAAGGTTCTATATTGTCAGGGAATTTATTTATTTATTTATTTATTGAATTTATATTGCCACCTATTTTCCCATGGTGACTCCAGGCGGTTTACAGAATGTAAAACCACATTTAAAATTTAAAAAAAAAAAAAAATTGATGGGGTGGCTCCTCAACTCAATCTGTCGTAGAACAGAAAAACAAGAATCCCAGTTCCTTTGTGGTACTAAAAATCTAATTCCTATTGACTATTTTTATCTTCTAATGCGTGTTTATGGGCTTGGGGATGGGATGGGGGTATTTTGCTGTCGTTTCAGGAATGAAACCAATAATGAGGTTTGTGCTTCAGCTTTTAGCCAAATATTTGTGCGTATTATTTCACGCAGTCAATCCAAGTGAGTATTACAAAGCGGACTTTGTAAGCAAAACTTAATGAAATTGGTCACCCGTTGCTTCCCTGAAGCCTCTCCATCTACAAGGCCCCCAATTTAATCCCAGAGCCCTTCAAAAGAGTTGGAATTCTGCAGAGCTGCTGAAAAATAAGAATCTTTCTCCACTACCTTAAACAAATTGCAGAGTTCTGGTGCATGGTGCACCAGCATAGGAAAAATTGTGTCTTAAGAGAGATGAGAGATATTGAACAGGTTCCCATTCCACGACTCTTCCCTGTTCTACTTAACTTTAATAACTTTGTCTACAACTTTAAAACACACACACACACAACAGAGGTTGTCTCTGTATGACGGCTTATGTCAAAAAAAGTTTTGACAGTGATCGCAACTGGTCACATGGCTCTGGCTGCTATCTTAGCTTTTTTTTTTACCTCTGCAGTCCCCACAACATGCCATAAAGTGCATAAATGCAGATTTCCTTCTAGGCAAATGTGGTCAAAGCAAATTTGAAACATCTAAAAATCAATATGCCTTCAGTGTGCCATTTCAAATCCCCCCCATATGAATAAATTCAGGATTGCCATTCATATCAAACCTCGTGACAACCATACTATCCTAGAATCGGCGCTTACGGTAATTTGTGCTGCAAAGTCTGGATTCAGATCTACTACTATTACTTTACACGTGGTTTTCACAAAAGGTTCACACCCTGCACAAAGATAAACACCACAGGACTTGCCTGTGAACTTCATTTCTTCGTTTTGTTCACGTCTTTAGTCAAGTCAGCAAAAATGGAAATGTTGATGGCTAAAGCCATTAGATATTAGATTAGATAATGCCCAAAGGCCCATCTTAAATGCAAACAGGGCTCTCAAAAGTACGATTTAGACGAATTAGCCACGTGACACATACTTTGCAATTTCTTGAACTTCCCCAACTCCAATTCTTCAGGTTTTTCATCGCCAGCGCTAGAAGTTCGAAATGAATCCTACGTAGTTCCTGCTGAGCCAAGGACAAAAACAGAAATCATATCTCCAAAAGTGGAGAACTTCTTCAATCCTTTGAGTAAGTGCACCTTGGGGATTGCCTCGGGGTTACTCCTTCGCCAAACTGTTGTTACTCTGAAACATAACGCTGAAAGATACACACAGACCCTCTGCGTACAGGGAATTCCAGGTTTGGAAGCAGAAAACAAATGAGAGTGTTCCATCAGAATTTGCTCCCCTCCTTACTTCTCCCTAGCCCAGTCTCTTGGCCTCTGTTGAACAGAAAGCACCTCTCCCCGATTGCCAAGTCTCCTTGGATACACAAAACTACTTTGAAGTGTGTTTTGGAGCCCGGCTGAAGATTGGCCTTGCTTCCTTCTTGCCAGCCAACTTAACGGTTAAGACTGCTGAGAAGATGCTCCTTGACACTGAATGGATAACTCTGGAAAGGGAACATCCACGATGGTGAACAAAGTGAGAATGAATTCAGATCTCAATTCTGCTAAAATTTTGGCAACTGAAATTCATTCCAGCCAGCAATGGATGGCTTTGCCAAGTGAGAATTAGTTCAACCTTTCCTTGTAGAGATAGAACTATCCAGCTGCACTTATTCTTCGACACCCAGTTATCAGGACACAAAATTACACAAATGGTTCCTTCGCTCTTGGATGGGTTGCATAAAAGAACAGTACACTCACTCCAACTTGATGCTTAGGAATTATAGTTCAAAGTTTGCTCTGTATCTTCTAACCATGTCATGGGTGTTTTTTTCCATGGCATTCTGCTACTCTAACTCAGCTTGTTCAAGGATATAGTTCCCAAAACAATTCCCTTAACCATTCCAGGTTTGCTCCCTTCTCTCCCATGTAAACCTAACGGAGGAACAATTCCCACCCATTTTTGAGGAAATATGGGTTTACGGGAGGCTAATATATAACTTATTGTCTGGGCTGGACGTGAGAGAGATTCAAACCTTAGAACTTTCGTTGTCTTTCTGAAAGCTTGCTGGCCCAGAGGAAATCAGAAAGCCATGGCTTGCAAAGCTGGAGAACACATCAACGAGACATTGTGCCTAGAACACAAATGTTGTGTTTCTTCCAGAAAATTTATTCAATTAGACTGCTATACTCCGTTTGAAGACCGTAAGTAGTGTTTTGTCCCATGTATCTTCTTTATATCCTCTGTAGGAATAGCTGAGTTGTACATTCAAATGACTGTTTAAAGAAGGACTTAACAAATCCAAGTATTTTAATGTTAGCTTTAATGAATGTCAAAGTGCGACGGTATAAAATACCATGCATAGTTACAGGACAAATACTTGTATGCAGCAGGTATTATATTTTGTCCCTGCCACCCCCTAGTTAAAAACAACAACAACCTTGTTGCTGAGATCTTCTATATCAGGATGTCCAACGTTGGTCTTCTGTCTACATCATGGTGTCCAACCTTGGCCAATTTAAGACCTGTGAACTTCAACTCCCAGAATTCACCTGTGGACTTCAACTCCCAGAATCCCAATAGTAAGATGGAACAACAGTGGCTCTTAAGGACTGTTTGTAACTTTCTTAAGTAGAAAATCGATCTCTTAGGAACACGATTATGAAGCCAATGGCCCAACCAATCCTTTGGCTGTTAGGATCTCCAGTTTGTGTGTTTTCCTCTATAATAAATCTCCCTCGGTGCTTACGATTCTTCTAGAAATTACTAAAAACTTTTTGTTCTCTGAGACCTTGAGATAGGGTAGTTGTAAAGCAACTTTCACCTTGATTGAAAGATCAGCTGTGCTCTCTTTCATATATATTGTGCCTTTTTTCTCCCTTATATGCACTTACCCAGTCATTAAAGAGCTTTATTAAATAAATCCAATGCCTCACTGCTTTTTGAACCAAGGACCAAGGATCTTCAAGTACAGTTAAGAGCCATGGTGGCACAGTGGTTAGAATGCAGTGTTGCAGGCTAATTCTGCCAACTGTCAGCAGTTCAACCCTGATGGGCTCAAGGTTGACTCAGCCTTCCATCCTTCTGAGGTCAGCAAAATGAGGAGCCAGATTGTTGGGGGGGCAACAGGCTGACTCTATAAACTGCTTAAAGAGTCATAAAGCACTATGAAGTCGTATATACGTCTTAAATGCTATTGCTATTTTGTGATGAGGTGTTTATTTTTAAAGACCTCTCCAACTTGTCTAAAGTTTACTATTTCAGCTATAGATTGAATGCCAGCTATGCTTTATGTTGCTCAAACCACAACAGGCCCTCAACAGATTTTGAGAATATTTGCTGTTGGCATCGGAGGAATGTTGGCTCTTGTCTGCCTTCCATTTTGCTGTTTCATAGTAGAGAGAAGGTAAGAAAAGGAGGTAAGAGGTATCGCAGCAAGTTAAAACTTTCCAAAGCCGTCCCACAAGCCACCATTCCCTGCAGAAAGGCATCCAAAGATAAGAAGAAACTTTAAACTTCATGAAAAAAAAAGGTTATCCAGGCAACTGGACTTCTTTGTTGTTGTTTTTCTTTGAAAACATTTTGCTTCTCATCCAAGTTCTGAAGAACCTTCTTGGATGAGAAGCGAAAAGTTTTTAAAAGAAAAAAAAACACGAGAAAATCCAGTTGCCTTTTGGAAAATGAACCTTAGGGACTTCCTTGTCAAGAGTCAGCCATTCTTCCCTAACCCAGTGTTCTCCTGACTGATTTGGGACCACATCTTGAAAAGTTTATATCTTTGTTCTCAATGGTATTTCAGCCCATGTGCTAATCCTTTGCGTCGCTCCCCCAAAGAAGATGACACTGAAGAAGAAAGTGAGAGCAGTGATGAGAGCAGCGATAGCTAATCTGCAGAGTGAATTCAAAACTACATTAAGGGAAGTTATGAAAGATAATTAAATGTTCATCATGATATGCCTAAACTGTACGGAGTTATTGATTGATTTTTGGAGATGGGGATGTGTCAACTGTATATTTCCAGAGCTGAAGCAATAATGGTGATGTTTACCGTTACCACTGCTCTCCTCCTCTCGTCTTCTGCGCATCCAGGCACTGGACCCAGCTGTTCCTCCTCTTCCTCATCAGCCACCTCTAGACCTGGGGGCTGTTGACTCTCCATCTAAGGACTGATGATGGCCCAGGCTCCGCCTCTGTCTCTGTCTCTCTCTCTCTTCCAGCTCCATCCCTTCTTCCCTCTCAGAGCTCCCACGCCTCCTCATCTGATTTAGTTGCTGGAATGGCCGTCGGCCGACAGACCGCAACAGGTGTCGTCTAATCCAATGAGCTGAGAAGCGAAACATCTTCAAAGAAAACCCAGAATGTCCAGTTGCCTCTTGTAATCCTAACCACAATGATACCGAAATGAAGGAAAGTGCAACTTTAACCCTAACCCTAACATTGAGGCCCAAACATGGTATTCAATATTAATCATAAAGTGGTTTATTTGGCTTTGGCTCCAATGTACTGTGATTCGTAAACCCACGGTTTGTGGTGTTTGAAGCTCACTAGTTGTAGGAGCTTTTTGAAGCAACCGTGGCATCACGGATGTGCGAACTCCCTAATAACCTTGTGCCTTAAAGTGCTACGATGCAAGATAAGTTGGGTTCTGCCAAACCCTTTTGTGAATTTGGGACAGTTTTCAGAATTTTGATATCATAACCACAAGATGGTGGTATAAGCAAATCATCTTAGTCTCCTTGAACAGCAGTGAATGCAGATTCCCTTCTGAGCTTTTCAGTTTTGAAATGATTATTTTTCTTTAGGATCTTGGTATGTCTATACCTAAAAAGGGCTATGCAACCAACTTCTTACACAGTACATGGTGGGCTACGGTGGCAAAATGTAATCATTAATGTTGTTGAGAAATGGGCTAACAGAAGCAATAAAAATGATCAGGAGTCCGGAGGCAAAGCCATAGGATGAAAGGTTCATGGAACTAGGTATGTTTAGCCTAACAGAGAGAAGGCTTAGGGGTGACATGACAGCTATCTTTCAGTATTGAGGGGCTGTCAAAGAGAAGATTAGTGGTTGGCCTATTCGCCCAAACACCCTAGGACAGGTCAAGAAGCAATGGATGGAGGCTTGTCAAAGAGAGATCCAACTTGGGACTTAAGGAGAAATTTCTTATCAGTGAGAACAAGTAATCCGTGGAACAGCTGGCCTCTAGAAGTTGTGGGTGCTCCATCACTGGAGGTTTTTAAGAGATTGGACAAAGATTTGTCCAGGATAGAATAAGAACTCCTGCCGTGGGTGGAGGGATTGGACTAGAAGACCCCAAGGTCCTTTCCAGCTCTCTGACTTTATGAAGTCACTTCAAAACAGCTTAAAATCAAGGAAAACCTGAGTGTCAGCTAATCCCTAATTATACTGTATTCCAGCCTAGAGCCTTATCGATCAATATTAGGCTCACCTGATCCTCTAGTAATGGGATATTAGAGAGGTGAAATCAGAGGTGGGATTCAGCCGGTTCTGACCAGTTCTGGAGAACCGGTAGTGGAAATTTTGAGTAGTTCAGAGAACCAGCCAATGCCACCTCTGACTGTCCCCGCCAACCCCACCTATTCTCTGCCTCCCATTGAGTCCCAGCTGATTGTCTGGGTCTTCTTTGGTTGCCCTGCACAGGAGAACAGAACTGGAAAGCAGGTTAGTGGGGTGGGGAGGAAATGGAAATTTTGCAGTATCCTTCCCCTCCCTTTCCCCCCAAGCCATGACATGCCCACCGAACTGGTTCTAAGAAATTTTGAATCCCACCAAATATGAGTCCATTGATCCTGAAGATCTGAAGTTCTTAGGACTCATTCTCATGATTCAAGAAATAATAATAATAATAATAATAATAATAATAATAATAATAATAATACCACCAAAGGCATTGACAAATTTGCCATCAGTCAATTGCAAAAAGCGGCTTTACTGGGAACAGCTTCCACCCTGCGACAATATCTGTAACACCGTCAAACGTCCAGATTTGCCTATCCCAGGTCCTTGGGAAGGACTCAATAGGTAGACAAAAATGACAAGCCCAGCCTGAACATCTGGCTGACTGTGTGATGATGATGATGTTTAATAATATGCAGTAGTAGTAGTAGTAGTAGTAGTAGTAGTAGTAGTAGTAGTAGTAGTAGTA